CGCGTCGGCCCCGAAACCTTGGGCAGGATCATGAATGTCATCGGGGAACCCATCGACGAGAGGGGCCCCATCACCACAAAACAGTGAGTGAGGCCACGGGGTGGGAGATGAGCGTCGTGTGGGGGTTTGGAGGTGGGGGAAGCAGTTTTGGAGGTTCTGGAGCAGCAGATGGCTCTGATCAAGGATGTGGCACGTCCCTGTCACCCTGGTGTTCTCCTGGGTGGTGAGGGGGGACCACAGTCTCACAATCTGCTGGCACTGGTGCTTGATTTGGCTGCTCAGCTCCTTCCTCCTCCTCCTCTGGCTGCAGGTTTGCTGCCATCCACGCCGAAGCCCCTGAGTTCGTGGAGATGAGCGTGGCGGAGGAGATCCTGGTGAAAGGGATCAAGGTGGTGGATCTGCTGGCTCCCTACGCCAAGGGCGGCAAGATCGGTCCGTACCCCCCCTCATAGGGAGGGAGGGGGGGGTTTTGGGGAGGGGGGGCACCCTGCCACCCCCCCTGAGGCTCAGGATCGGTCCCTCTGCAGTCATTTCCTTCGCTGATGAGTAACCATTTGACTTTCGTTCTTCTGAGCTTTGCTGAAGCCACGTTTATCGATCTGAGGAGGAAAGGGGGAGGGAGGGAGGCAGCGGGGGCAGGTGGGTGGGCTTGGGGTTGAGCACGATTCCTGTTTTTTGCCCCCCCCAGGTCTTTTTGGGGGTGCTGGTGTCGGCAAAACTGTGCTGATCATGGAGCTGATCAACAACGTGGCCAAAGCCCACGGCGGTTACTCGGTGTTCGCCGGCGTCGGGGAGCGGACCCGCGAGGGCAATGATTTGTACCACGAGATGATTGAGTCTGGGGTCATCAACCTGAAAGATGCCACCTCCAAGGTGCGGTGGGGGGGGTCTCCCCCCATTGGGGACACACAGAGGGGCAGTGGGATGTCCCCGTGCCCACACTGGGGTCCTGCCTGCAGGTCGCCCTGGTTTATGGCCAGATGAACGAGCCCCCCGGTGCCCGTGCCAGGGTGGCCCTGACGGGGCTGACGGTGGCCGAGTACTTCAGGGACCAGGAGGGTCAGGACGTGCTGCTCTTCATCGACAACATCTTCCGCTTCACCCAGGCGGGCTCCGAGGTCTGTGGGGCTCCTGGGGCTGAGCACTGAGGGGTCTGTGCCCCCCAACTCTGCCTCGTGCAGCCTCTCAGGGGCTTCCTTCCCTCCCAAGGTGTCAGCCCTGCTGGGCAGAATCCCCTCTGCTGTGGGCTACCAGCCCACGTTGGCCACCGATATGGGCACCATGCAGGAACGGATCACCACCACGCGCAAGGGCTCCATCACCTCGGTGCAGGTGAGGGCAGGGCTGGCTGTGCCATGCCAGGGGACCCACCGTGGCCACCCCGGACCCACCGTGGCCACCTCAGACCCACCGTGGCCACCCCAGACCCACCATGGCCACCCTGGACCCACCATCCCCTCCCACCTCCCCCAGGCCATCTACGTGCCCGCCGATGACTTGACCGACCCGGCCCCGGCCACCACCTTTGCCCACTTGGATGCCACCACCGTGTTGTCCCGAGCCATCGCCGAGCTGGGCATCTACCCGGCTGTGGACCCTCTGGATTCCACCTCCCGAATCATGGACCCCAACATCGTGGGTCCAGAGCACTACGACGTGGCCCGAGGCGTCCAGAAGATCCTGCAGGTGAGGAGGGGGGGGTCCCACAACCCCCCATGGAGGGGGGTGGGAAGCCCAACGTTGGCCTCTCACACCCCCACCGTGTCCTCCCCCAGGACTACAAGTCCCTGCAGGACATCATTGCCATCCTGGGCATGGATGAACTCTCTGAGGAGGACAAGTTGACGGTGGCCCGGGCTCGGAAGATCCAACGCTTTTTGTCCCAGCCCTTCCAGGTGGCCGAGGTCTTCACTGGCCACATGGGCAAGTTGGTGCCCCTCAAGGAGACCATCAAGGGCTTCAAGCAGATCCTGGCAGGTGAGACAACCCCCGGGTTGGTCTGGGGGGGTCTGTGGGGCTGGGAGGTGGTCTGTGGGGCTGAGGGGGGGGTC